GTTTTTCTCTCACACCAAATCAGTCAGCAGTAAATAATCCACGATACGATACGGTCTCCCGAACAGGCTGCAGATCCAGTGCTTCAATTCACTGCTGCCTACTTTGTTGATGAACAAAAGAGCAGCGGAATACTACAGACGGGACGGGAGGCTAGCTACCACTTTCATCGCATGATTGCACTGCATGTGCGAGCTAAAGAGAAGAAGATCAAAAGCTAGTGTCGCCACTACCACTATGGCCTGCACAGAGCTTTAATTGTTCAGTTTTGCTGCCTTGCCTTGCTTTGTTTGCTTTGTTTGCCCTGGCAGACCATGCAAACCTGTGTGCTAGGCCGCTGATAGCCTCTGTTTGATAGCATGGCCCTTGCCCGGCCGTTGGTACTTTGCCACGCAAACATATAACATAAGGGCCCGTTTGATCCTGGGAATTGAATTAATTCTAATAATTATAATTTAGACATACATCCTGTTCGTTGGTTGGTTTCTGGATTGATAAGCCCAACTGGTACTGGTTTGTTATGAGAGAAAAATATTGTACCATGACTGATAAACCCTGACTGAAACCAACAAGTGAACAGGCTGATAGATTAATTAAGTTAATATAGTTATATATGGAATATATTTGTATATTTATTGTTAGACATACCAGGGACATACTTATATGTTGTATTTTTATTATAAGGAAGTGAGTTGAAGAATGTGTTATAAGTTGAAGAGTAGAATTATAACATAGTGATCTATAGAATCTATTTTTATCTCCCATCTTATGACTTTGAGATAGGTTTATTTGTGAGTTTAAAAAAGTTATGGTATGTTAAATTCTAAGCTAAATAACCTAATTCATTAAGTAGATTTTAATTTCTCTAAAATAAAGGAATCTAAACGGGCCCTACCTGAAGTTGCCTTAATAAAAACTGCTGCTGTGCTATTGCTGGCTTGGACTGGTAGTGCATCGGAGTCGGACAAAATCCATTCGTACGTATACAGTTTCCCTTCAATTTTGACATGGAGTAGTCTCCGTGGGTGGGCTGGACACAGGCTTGCAGTGGAGGGTGTGTTCCTTGCAAACATTCTGGTTGGTTCGGCAACTCTGTTGTTGGGGGGCAGCCTGGCAATTGCATTTATATTATGCCTGGAAGGAATCTAGTAGCATGTACAAACAATCAGCACCAGTATTCAGACATGTATGCAAGAGTTGGTTCAGAACTTCAGACACGTGGTAGTTTGGCCGCTGTGGTCTTTCACTCTTTCTTCTATAGAATTATCCTGCAATGCTTTTGCATGTTTGCAAAAGATCATAGGATAGTAGAACGATTAAGTGCACATAGATAATACAACAACAACTAACGGCACGTATTTCTGTAAATACTACAGCCAGAAATTTCTCCCAATCTCTTTTACTTTTTCTTTGTTTTGTTTTGTTTTGGATAAATAAATAAATAAATAAATAAATACAGTCTCTGTTACTATGGCTAAGCCGGAGGCTGCTGTTGCTGCTCGAGATACGGAATCGCGATCGGAGCAAATGGGCCTAGCAGGAGTACTCGGCCCCGGTCGGCCAGTGTACAGTGTATCGGGCCACCAATGGATTCGGCCCAAGCGTGGCGGCGAATGTACGGAAGAGTACAAAGATGAAGAAGAAACTATGAGAAAGTTATTTTTTTGTTTTTGTTTTTCTTGTGCTTGTAAAGATTCACGATCAATATTTTCCATTTTGTGGATTCACGAAAATGTTTTTCCATTTTGTTTGTTTATATGGCATGTGACCAAAAAAATAAAAAAGATGTGACGATAATTTCGAAAACTCTGCCGGTAAGAAATGACCCATGAGCGAGAGAACATGACTATAAAGAATGATCTTTCATAAATTGTATGGAGTTCAAATCAAACACATATTTTATATATGACCCATGAGCGAGAGAGAGGTTTTTTTTATATAAGAACGGAGTTCAAATCAAACACATATGGCAAGGGAGGGTGAACGGCTTTTGTTTGATGAGAAAGAAAAAGGCTACGGCGGGTAGCTCCGAGCTAGGTTTAGAGGCGCGTGGCGGCGGGATTTTACATCACAGTGGACGATTCAGTGGACGATTCGAAAGAAAGGATTTTAGATCAGAGCGGACGGTGGTTGTTGGCGAATTATTGACGCCAAAAACGGCAAATTGGCATAGTAGTAGATCTGTAATGTATGCCCCGAGCCCGGATGGAATCGGTTCGGTGTTGTGTACATCTCGCGTCATTGTCCTATAAATTGGAAGAGCAGTAGAGCCCTTTGTACAGTGTGGTAGAACAGCAGCAGACAATACTAGTGTACTACAGCAGCAGCATACCGAGAGCGCGACAGCAGAGTGCAGTGATCCACCAAGGGCTGCCACGTAGTGGGCATGACGACCATGGAGGCGGAGGTCGACGTCGGTCGGATCGTTGATGCTCTCTTGGGGCTCATCACGTGCATTGTGCTGCTGCTGCTGCTGTTGGCAGCGCTGGAGTTCCAGTTCGCCAAGACTGTCGTCGCGAGGCTCAGGTTCGTGATAGCGTGGTCCGCGGCTCCCCTCGCATCGCTGTGCGTGGACGCTATTCTGTTTCTGGTGCTGATAGTCCGTGGAGGAGTGGGCGCCTTCTGGGGCCGCCTCGCCACCTTCCTCGTACCGCCGCGGCTGGGGGAGGGGGCACGGGCCCTCGTGCTCTCCTCCTCAGCGCCAGCAGCTGCATGATGTCGTTGCCGCCGTCTTGATCGTGACCCATTCTACTGTTGCCATCGGCTAGTACTACTTACTGTACGTGTGCTGGATGCATGTGTAGTATTTTAGTTAAATAAATAAATTGGAAAGCCATGGATGCGTTGCAGGTGGTTGTGGTTTGATTTGGGATAGCCTGTAACTTTGTATCAAGCATAATAATAGCTCATAATCGTCATTCATGTAACTTTGTAGCTCATGGCCTCGCTGGTCTAGGTGCGAGTTCTGTGGGTTTTGGACCCGGCGGGGGCGGGGGCAATTCCCCCGTTTTGCGGGTTTGGGGACCCGAATATTGTCGTGCCAATGTTAAGGTTTTGCCGGTCGACAGAATATGTAGTTCTGGGATCGCAGTGTAATGCTGCTACCTGCCCTTGGTCTATAAAAGTCGTTTCTATACTTTGAAATTGTAGCCAGTTCAAAGCTCAACAGTGTGTAGGACCGCGCAGAGCAGAGCAGAGCGCCAGTCCTATGAAGTGATTCTACTTGCTAATTTGAGAGTGCTTCCGTATTCCTTTGCGACGAAGAAGGTTTGTTGGCAATTCGTCCCACTGACCTGACCACCACACAACTGTCTATTTTATATCCATGTAATGGATTTCTACTCCATATCCTCTAGGTTCTCACAGGTGATTAGGCTGCAGGGATTAGTTTGGCAAAATCAAAGGTAACAATAGGATTCCCCTTAGTTCTAGCTTCGGTTTATATTCTCAGGGGAAATTTTGTGCTTGCAAATTGCTTGATGATATGCCTCTTAAGTTTGTAGATATAATTGGGATTAATCTGTACTTGCGCATGTTAATTTTTCAGTTTTATTTTTACGTGAAAGGCATTCAGGAAATATTTTACTGATTCCGTGTGGATTATATTATATCTAGAATAAAAGAACAAAGCCCAGATGTATAAAGTAATATATTTCTTTATGTACAATGAACTTTATGGGTTGTTGGCAATTTGTCCCACTGACCTGACCGCCACAGCACATATTCTGTCTATTTGCTAATTTCAGGGAAACCCGTATTCCATTGTAACCGCGTAGCAGGAAACAGTGGATCCATGGCAACAGGTCATGCACAACCCACCGAGACGGCGAGACCTGCCATTTTGGTGCCGGTGCCGAGCCATACTAGCTGACGTCGTCGTGGGCTGAAACTTCTCATGGCCTCATGGGCGTCCCAGCGCTCGGCTGAAGCGGAGGACACGCGGCTGTTGTTGTTGGGACGCCTGCTGCTGTCGGTGCTCCTCCCTCCGCTGCTGGTTCTGCGCGCCGAGGAGGACGTCGTCGCGCTCTTCTTGTTGCTATCCCACCTCTCGCACGACGACGTGCGCCCGGGACTGCTGCTGTTGCCGTCCATGGGCGGACGTTGGCCACCTGACGCCGACGCCTCCACCGGGCTGTCACTAGTGCCGCCTGGTTTGATCTTGTGCGCGTCCCACGTCTCGACGTCGTCAGCGCGGCTGGGCTTGGGAGGAGAACTGGGAAGGATGACGGCGCACGGCGGCGCCGGGAGCAGCGACCAGATCATCGTGCACTTGGGCGTGGTGGGAAGCAACCCGGGAACAGCTGCGTGCGCCTTGGCAAGGTGCACGCGCGCAACGGGTATCGCCATTGATCTAACGAAGGAGACACACACCGTACCAGAGGAGACGATGAAGAAGCGGTGTGATGAGATCTGGAGATTATGAGAAAGTTACTGGCGTCGAGGTTGGGTCGTCTTCGGCCAGTCTAATCGTCGATTTACATCGAACAACAGGCCATGACAATCACTGTATCCGACTGCAGTGAATGACTTGGCGTTCGTCTGACTCCGATCATTTACACCAGTATATACTTGTCTCTTAATCGCATGGACGTGCCTCATTCTGAATCTTGCGGACTTGCGGTTCCTTCAAATTTGTTGGAAATCATTTCCTTTGCCGAATCTGATATGCTACTAGGAAAGGAAACTGAATATCCTCGAGTTGCTACGGTACACTAGGACAGAGCATGGACCGAGAAAGCCCTGAATCCGACTAGGGGAGAGAAATGGCCGGCGTGGCGCCCACGCGTCTCGTCGCTGTATGAATTCGGACTCCGACTCCGATTCAACCTGACGAACAACAATTGAGGATTCGACCGAATTGCCAGGCGTCCCTGGGGCATATATATTTCTGCTGCTGCTACCGGAAATCATCTCACGGATCGCCGTCTTCTGTTTCATCCATCTCCTCGGTTCACTTGGCGGCGCTTCTGCCTTCTGGTGTGCGTGTCTCCGTCTTGGATCCATGGCGATCCCAGTTGCCCGCGTGCACCTTGCCATGACACACGCGGCTCTCCCGGCGCTGCTCCCGACCCCGCCCAAGTGGAAGATGCTGCCGCTGCTCCCGACGCCGTGCCCGTGCGTCGTCGCCGCCATCCTCGGCCTCCCAAAGCCGCTCGCCAAGCCGAGCCGAGCCGACTCCGACGAGAGGTGGGACGCGCACAAGACCAAGCCGGCCAGCATAGAATCTTCAGCCTCGTCAAGCCCTCGTTCCGCCGACAGCGTCAGGAGCAGCGGCAAGAACGCGACCTCGCCGCCGCCCAAGCCCGGCCGGGCCGACTCCGTGGACAGGTGGGACGCGCACAAGAAGGCAGCGAGCCCAGCTTCGTCATCGTCGTCAAGCACGTCTCCCCTCGTAAGCAGCACGTGCACAATCAGCTGTGCGTCGTCCGCCGAGCGCTGGGACGTGCACAAGAAGCATCGCCCGCCGCAGGCCAAGGCACTCGACGACGGCGAGAGCAGCAGTACTGGCAGCAACGACATCGACACGGAGGAGGAGGAGGAGATACTATGGAATCCGCGGGCCATGTACGCAGGACCGGGCTTCGTCGTCGCCGCGCCAGAATCCAGCATGCTTCCCATGCCAACAACGTTCTTGGTTCGCGTTGCATAGCTGCACTGCATGAACTCATCTCGGCTGGTTTTTTCAGCTTCCGAAAGCAAGTGTGATCTGATCAGGGGTGCTACTGCGACTAACGATGCTGTTTTCGATAATGGAGAAGTACACAGCTTAATATGGTGTTATTAGAATTTGAATGTTTTGCATGTTTCTGTAGGTCTTAGATTATTTCATCTGAATTAATTTGGTGCCTTTTGCAAGCCTAAACTGTATATGGATGCATACATCTGCAAGTATCGTCTTGATTGATTGATTCTGTTTTATTTTCAACATTCCAACACTTGTGCCGTGTCCAATGAATTAGTCGCACCTTTGCCTACTCATCAAAGAGGAACATTGTCACAAGTACTGAACAATGGCTCCAAGGGGAGCTTAGGCATCACAAGTTATAAGCATATGTCCGAATGGGCTGGGCTTATAAAGCCACGGAATCAGCTGCTACCAACACCTAATAAACATAAATAAAGGTGTCGGTGCAAAGTGATCAACAAGTAAATATTTGTAGTTTTGCCGTACGTTGTGATCGGAGGTGGCCTAGCACTCAATGACACATGGTTTATATTGGTTCAGGCAACGTACCCTACGTCCAGTTTGAATCGATCGGTGACTTTATTCCTGAGCCCAGGTGCTCGAATTTTACAGTGGGGTTACAAACGAGAAGAAGAAAGATGTGGGGGTACAAGAGGTCCGGTCGGACTCCGGTCGGAAGGGCCAAGAGTGACGGGAGCCTCGCTATGAGCTAAGTGTTCAAGTGTGTGCTTGAGGTTCGAGCCTGACGGTTCTATGGTTGTGAACTAGTGAACTTGATCAATCTAATCAATCTGGAATCACTTACTTTGTTGGGAGAGAGCGCATCCTTTTATAGATGAAGGGGATGGCCTTACAAGTGAGAGGGAGAGAGTACGTATGCTACTGAGCCTTGTTGCCCACGCCGGTGGGTACATGATGATGGTAAGCGCCCACAATATTCTTGAATGTCAGATGCACGTGGGAGGTGGTGTTGTCTTCTTCGGGTATGGCAGCCGTCGGCGCCTGCCATACTGTTGATATCTGGAGGCATGTAAGGGGTTTTACCATGTTCGTCCGGTACGGTAAAAGCTGGCGCCCACAACACTGTCGATGCCCAAAGGTATGCGGGGGGGCTCACCGTATAGGAGTTAATGACGTCCACAATACTGTAGGGGAAAATGTCGGCGCCTACAACTCTGTTTGGGCTCTGCTGTGCCAGGAAGGTTGCAGAGTACTATTTTTGCAGGTGTACAGAGTATGGTCCCCGGTATTGCGGTTTGACTTGTGCGTCCTGCCTTACTTTCTGCGTCCGTTTTCTGATCCTTACCGAGTGGGCGTCCTTGGTCGTTTGGTCCTAGTCGGCTCTGATCGCGCTAGTCGGAGAAGAGCAGTGAGCAGGGTTTTGGCGTTCCCCGGTCGGAGACGTGGGGTCGGAGTCGGAAGTAGTGCTTTGGCCAAGCCTTCTGGTCGGAGAGGCCGTCCGGAGGTGAGCTGGAGACCGAAGTGAGCGATCCGGTCAGAGAGGCCGTCTGAAGGCGGGCTGGAGACCGAAGTGAGCGTTCCGGTCGTAGAGGTGGGCCGGAGTCGGAAAACGGGCGCCGCTCCTCGGCCAGACCTTCCGGTCGGTGATTGGATCATCCTTCTGGCCTGCTGTTTAGATACTTGGGCTGGGCCATGAGTTGCGCGTCGTCTGCTTGGGTCGAGCCTTTGTTGGGAAGCCGGTTCGCGAGGGACCCCGGGTTTATGAACCCGACAGGAGCCCCCGAGCCCCCCGGGCGATTCGGGCAGAATCGTCTAGGGGATTTTTGTCTTGACGGCGGGTGCGCACGAGCACACCCGTGGGTGTAGCCCCCCGAGCCTCCGAGCGATTCGGGCAGAATCGTCTGGGGGGTTTTTCGTGTTGCCAGCGGGGGAGGTTTTTGTTTTGTCAGCGGGTGCGCTCGAGCGCACCCGCGGTGTAGCCCCTGGACGATTCAGGCAGAATCGTCTGGGGGTGTTCGTTAGCGGGCGTGTGTGCATGCTTTTTAGTCGAGATGGAGTCGTCAACCAAGGCGTCGTTGCGCAGCCGAGGCGGTTTCGCTTTAGGGATCGGGTGAGACGGAGCTCGCAGATCCTGGCGTCGATGCGCGCCGTGGGATCGGGTGAGGCAGTTAGTTTTTTAGGGAACGGACGAGATGGAGCTCGCGGGTCCCGACGTCGATGCGCGCCGTGGGATCGGGCGAGTTAGAGTCATGGATCCTGGCCTCGGTGCAACCTGCGTAGCCGAGGTAGTTAGTTAGTTAGTGTCGGATACCACAAGAAGGGGTACCCTAAGCAAGATCCAAGAATATTGCTTAAGCCTTGCTAAAACCAAAGCCAAAAGACTACTGCAAGGTCTCGGTAGAATTCTCCGATTCGCCCGAGGCCTTGCGCTGAGGCCTCATGCGAAACAGGCCTAAAACGTCCCGCCGAGGCCCTCTCGCCAAAGCCTCACCCCGAAAGGCCTCGGACGGATCTCCAATTCTCCGATTCGCTAGAGGCCGGGCTCGGCGGACGTACTCGTAACCTCCGTCCCGACCGAACTCCTCTAGTAAAACATCACGTCCGGATTAAATGCACCCAACCACTCCCACAAACGTCAGCCGCATGTAGGTACAGTGCGGGCAGAACAACTGACAGGATAGGGACCGGGCACAGCAGGGGTTACCTGCCACTATACTCACCACTGTGCTCCCTCCTGACACTTATACTACCCTGTGCTACCTAACCCCTGCGCCAAGGACAAAGCGGCATGGAAGGTCGAGTCCATGTCCCTGTAGCCTCGGAAACAACAGGAGAGCCCAGCTGCTCGGTCTCTGCCTCGTCCGAGACCCCCCGGCAAGGCCTCGGACGCGCCATTCCTTCTCCGCCTCGGCCGAGGCCGGGCTCGTCCCGCATTCTCATCGCCTCCGCCTCAATTGCCCCTCTGGCGGGCCGTCCCATCCGTGTAAGTATCCCTAGTTACGCCTACGTCAACCACGATTGGCAGGGTATGGCAAAAAGGGCGATGGGACGGTGGTCAAATCACCTTTTTACCATCCCCTATTGACGGTGCAGAGACTACGGCTCCCTGCGGACGCCCATTCCGCACTTTTTCATTGGAATAGGGTACGACACAGACCACCGAGACCCCTACGTCGTACACAGGTCACCTCCGAGGCCTCGGCAAAGAAGGCCTCGGCACGATCAGCTCTAGCACCCGCTAGGCCTCAGCACTCCACCAGGACAAGAGTCCACCAGGCATGGCATGTCACCTACAGTGGAGGCCATACTGACTAGACGTCAACAAGGACTCTTACGACTTCAACAGCCTCGGGCATGGCCTACGTGACGCACCGGTGATCAAGTACCAATTGTCATTCCCGACACTGTGTTGCTACAGGAATAGGCCACAGTACTGGATCTTCCTTTCTCGCTAAGGCTCCACGTGTAGCTCTCTCATGTACTCCTGGCTCCCTCCTTGTGGCTATAAAAGGAAGCAGCCAGGGCCATTTCTAGGGATCGAAACCACGCCAGCCCTCACGCAAAAACGCACTCACTCAATTCACGCGTGCTCCCACGCTGCCTGAGAGCAACGACTCAAGCAGCCCGCATAATTCCACGTCGAGACCTGGGACTAGCTCCCTCTCTCACCCAGCTTGTAACCCCCTACTACAAGCACTTCGGTGCAGAGAATACAAGATCAATCTCCTAGACTGGACGTAGGGCGCCGATTGCCTGAACCAGTATAAACCTTGTGTCTCTTTGCATCACCATCCGGGATTAGGGGCACATAGTTCACATTTACTGGTTGGTTGAGGACCCCCCGGTCCAAAACACCGACAGTTGGCGCGCCAGGTAGGGGCCTCTGCGTGTTAGCGTGATCGTCCCAACAAGTTCTGAATGGCTGACCCCATACGCCCACTATGTCTCGGCACGGTGGTCTGGTTTGGGAGCCTAGAGTTCATGTCTCTAGGATGTGAGTACGATATGGTACTCCTAACACCCAGAGCCCCACCGGCCGGCGACGACGTTGCGCATCGGCAGCATGGGCGCAGGCGGTGCCCGGGCCACTGCTCTCGTCACGCTCGCCAGGCACGACACGAGCGGGACTACTCTGACGCCACGCGAACTCAGGGCTATGCGCCGCACTCCGCCGACATCCCATGCCCGGCTGTTGGTACAGAGTCCCTGGCTAGGGACCTGTTTAGCCTAAGCATGGGCAGGGGAAGGACGCCGGTAGCGCGCAGCGACGTCCCATCATCAAGCTCTGCCCCGCCGCTTCTAGGGGAATCGACTCAGGCGGAGTGGAGCCCAGCGGTGGCACCATCCCCGTACCTCTTCGGGCTGAAAAACATCGCCGCCGCCCACGCTTTCGCTTATGCCTCCACGCCCGCGGAGCTCTCGGGACACCACCAACGATTCGCCCTCGACTTCTCCACCACAATCTCGACCCACACCCACACTGGCTCCTCGGAGGAGGATGAGGCTTGGGCCAGAGTGGACTTCTCCGGGCTTCGTGACCCTGAGGCTATGCGCCGCTTCTTGGCCGCAAGCGACTACTACTTCGGCCACTCCGACTCCGATGACGAAAGCACTTATGATCCCACTCGAGAGTGTTTCCACGCTGGGCTCGGAATGCCAGGGACAAGTGACGAGGGGAGAGGGCGGGCAACCGGTCCCCACTCCGCCAAGGGGTGGGTGACGCCACACCCCCACTCGTCGAGTTCCGGCGGCGCGGAACGTGAACATCGGCCCCGGGGATGCCCGACGCCTAGACCTGGAGCAACTCCGTGAGCTCCAAGCAAAAGTTGACCAAGATCGACTCCTGCAGCAGCAGCTCCGAGACACTCTCGAACAGGAGCAGCAAGGCCATAGTGACGGCGGAGGGGCCCGGCAGAGGGCCCACGATGTGCACCGCCGCATCAACAACGACGAAGCAAGTGAGCAACCCCCAATCTTCAATCGCGCTAGCCAGAACGTCGCGG